CTTTCACCTGGAACACAAACATGTGCTGACGTGGAACACACTCATGTGGTCACATGCAAAAAGTGCGTGTTCACTTGGAACGCGCCGATGTGGTCAGCTGGAACACACCAAGACCACACAATCATTTACTTGAAGCACTCGTACGTGCATCCGCAGCATGCTGCCTGTGGCTTGATCAAGCGCACGCGCGCGCTCAAACACACGTTTCTGAGCCTCAAACACACATGCGGGCCCGCGGAATACACCGCGAATGACCAGGGAGCCGTGCCAGGCATCCAGGCTGGGGGACAACAAGAAGGAGACAAAGGGAGACAAATGAACCCGTCCGCCCGGAGAGCCGTGCCAGACATCCAAGCTGGGAGACAAACGAATCCGTCCACCCAGAAAGCCGTGACAGGCATCCAGGCTGGGAGACAACCGGGGCCAAATAAAGGGAGACAAAGGGAGACAAATGAATCTGTCAGGCAAATGAAGGGAGAGGAACCCGTCCGCCGGGAGAGCCGGGACAACCCCAGGTGCCAAGAGCACCACTGGGTATCTCGGCGTAGGTTCGTTGAACATCATCAAAGAATCGATAGACGATGTAACTCCAGCGTGATTCACGTTTGTTTCACCGGGGGGTTAACAGAGCCTTCTCGTAGCTGAAGCCGTGCACCGCAGCGCACCGCTCTCGTCAGCTCGGGACTCCAAATGCGAGCAAGGACAGAGAGAGGCCGCAACTGATAACGAGGCACTGAACGAACAGACAGGGTGTAGCCAACGATAGACAAGGAAGACGACCCACCACGAGCCCAAGCGAAATCGAAGTCCAGATGAAGGGCAGACAGAGGAGGGCCCTGTCCCCAACATCCACAAGACAAGGAATGACCGAAGCCAGGGCCAAAGCCGAAGGCAAACCAGACCCCGCCAAAAGGACAGAACCGCGGGAAGTGAAGGAAACCGCGGAGCGTGAGTGCCACACATCCAGGCTGGGAGACAACGGGAGACAAATGAATCCGTCCACTCAGAGAGGCATCCAGGCTGGGAGACAACGGGAGACAAATAAAGGGAGACAAAGGGAGACAAGTGAATCTGTCCGCCTGGAGAGCCGTGCCAGACATCCAGGCTGGGAGACAACGGGAGACAAATGAAGGGAAACACAGCCCAGAGAGCCGTGCCAGACAAATGAAGGGAGACAAAGGGAGACAAATGAACCCGTCCACCCAGAGAGCCGTGCCAGGCATCCAGGCTGGGAGGCAACGGGAGACAAATGAAGGGAGACAAAGGTGACAAATGAACCCGTCCACCCAGAGAGCCGTGCCAGGCATCCAGGCTGGGAGACAACGGGAGACAAATGAAGGGAGACAAAGGGAGACAAATGAACCCCTCCACCCCAGAGAGCCGTGACAGGCGTCCAGGCTGGGAGACAACCGGGGCCAAATAATGGGAGACAAAGGGAGACAAATGAATCCGTCAGGCAAATGGAGGGAGAGGGAGACAAATGAACCCGTCCGCCGGGAGAGCCGGGACAACCCCAGGTGCCAAGAGCACCACTGATTATCTCAGCGTAAGGTTCGTTGAACATCCTCGAAGAATCGATAGAGGATTTAACTCCAGCGTGATTCACGTTTGTTTCACCGGGGGGTTAACAGAGCCTTCTCGTAGCTGAAGCCGCGCACCGCAGCGCACCGCTATCGTCAGCTCGGGACCGCAACTGATAACGAGGCACTGAACGAACAGACAGGGTGTAGCCAACGATAGACAAGGAAGACGACCCACCACGAGCCCAAGCGAAAGCGAAGTCCAGATGAAGGGCAGACAGAGGAGGACCCTGTCCCCAACATCCACAAGACAAGGAATGACCGAAGCCAGGGCCAAAGCCGAAGGCAAACCAGACCCCGCCAAAAGGACAGAACCGCGGGAAGTGAAGGAAACCGCGGAGCGTGAGTGCCACACATCCAGGCTGGGAGACAACGGAGACAAATGAATCCGTCCACCCAGAGAGCCGTGCCAGGCATCCAGGCTGGGAGACAACGGGAGACAAATGAAGGGAAACAAAGGGGTGCCAGACATCCTGGGAGACAAAGGTAGACAAATGAACCCGTCCACCCAGAGAGCCGCGCCAGGCATCCAGGCTGGGAGACAACGGGAGACAAATGAAGGGAGACAAAGGGAGACAAATGAACCCGTCCACCCAGAGAGCCGTGCCAGGCATCCAGGCTGGGAGACAACGGGAGAAATCAAGGGAGACAAAGGGAGACAAATGAACCCGTCCACTTAGAGAGCCGTGCCAGGCATCCAGGCTGGGAGAGAACGGGAGACAAATGAAGGGGACAAAGGGAGACACATGAACCCGTCCACCCAGAGAGCCGTGCCAGATCCAGGCTGGGAGACAACGGGCGACAAATGAAGGGAGACAACGGGAGACAAGTGAATCTGTCCACCCAGGCATCCAGGCTGGGAGACAACGGGAGACAAATGAAGGGAGACAAAGGGAGACAAATGAACCCGAGCCGCGCCAGGCATCCAGGCTGGGAGACAAATGAAGGGAGACAAAGGGAGACAAATGAACCCGTCCACCCAGAGAGCCGTGCCAGGCATCCAGGCTGGGAGACAACGGGAGACAAATGACAAAGGGAGACAAATGAACCCGTCAACCCAGACTGGATCATCCAGGCTGGGAGACAACGGGAGACAAATGAAGGGAGACAAAGGGAGACAAGTGAACCCAGGGAGACAAACGAACGCGTCCACCCAGAGAGCCGTGCCAGGCATCCAGGCGGGGAGACAACGGGAGACAAATGAAGGGAGACACAGGGAGACAAATGAACCCGTCCACCCAGAGAGCTGTGCCAGGCATCCAGGCTAGGGCTTGGCAACAGGCGAGCCACCTTAAATGAATTTAGAACCCCTCACAGTAAACTGTTTGGGGAACTATTTGCAACAGTTGTCACACATATATATTCCGAAACATGTGTGTTCATATATTTTTTGCGGGGCCGAAAAAACGCACACACAAACACACACATCGATCTGAAAAAATATTTTCACAATTGTTCTCACATATAATATACATGTATTCCGGAAAAAAAAAGCTGCGCTGCGATGAAAAGCGCCGACCCCAAACCCTAAGCGTGCAACTGCTCCGTGCCTGTTTTCTCACTCTTGCGAAAGTTGCCCGTTGAGGCGCAGCAAGAAACGCTGAAGCAAGCGCTTCGAAAGCGTACTTGCGTGGACCGCTCCGCGTGCCACACTGCAAGTTTTTCCAACATTATCCTCTTCTGTCCAGCAGCTCACAAACCGGCAGTTTAGCCGAGTGTCTCGCAAGACTGTCTCGCACACAAATGTGTGGAGCTTCGGCCTCACTTTCCACAGCGGCCGCTTCTCCTTTGATGCCTTGTCCGCCAGCCAGACAAGACACTGAGCGTACAGCACGCCCAACCTTGCAGATGCGGCGAGCCAAGCTCATGTGCGAATCTGAACTCGTGTGAATATGCATCCATGGTCATGAGCTATCCCAAACTCTGCCAAAAAAAAACGAGGCTCCAATCCGGTTGCATGCATTCGAATCTCTGCAGGCAGGATGCTCCCGACAACGGGCATGCGCCTCGTCATCCAGCCACATCCCAGAATTGTCAACCAGGTAGCTCCACTCGTTCAAGCTCCATGCCAGCACAGCTGGCATGCCAAGTTCAGGGACGTCGGTGTCCTCAAAAAAACCGAGGACGCAACACACATTTACATTCAGCGCAACTCAGCCCCATCGATTGCAATCATGATGGCAGCAACATGCCCCAGCAACGCAAACTGCAGCTTAAGATCTCGCAGCAGGTGGGCCAGAAAGTTGATCCTTGCATGCACGCGCATGGCGCCAATCAAGCTGGGACACTGAAGCAATTGACATTGAAAATTAAAGTCTCATGCATGCGTGCAAGAAAAAAACAATGAACGTCAAAGTACATGTGCGTACAAAGGCGCAGAACCTTGTTGTTCCATCCTTTGCTGTAGGCCAGCGGGAAATCCAGCGACAAAGTGTCCACCCCCAATTTTTGGAGGGACAGCTCTTCCAGGGAAGACGATGGGATGTTGTGCTCCTTGCACCATCGCCACATGTCGGTGCTGAGGTGGTGCAGCCTGTCATCGAACGTGCTTAAGTGCTGGTATTGAGGAAGGTGCTCAACCTCAGACAGCGCACCAAGCAAATGACAAACACGGCTCGATCAGTGAGCCCATGAAACAAATCGCATGCATGCATGCATGCGCCCTCAAAAAAGGGCAGTGGAAACACGGCAAGGCGCCGACACAAGCGCAAGGCTTGCCGCGCTGTCGCGAGCTGTCCCCAGCCAGACAGAGTGCAGCACGTCAGCATGTTCCATATGTGGCGTCCAGCCGCTCAGTTGCCACATCCTTGTTCTGCCACACAAAGTGCATGAAACCACCCGAGAAATAGGTTTTGCGCATGCAACAAAAATATCTTGAAAAATGCCATCAAGGTCAAGGTGCGGAATGCCCTCTCCCACACCTACAAACGCAGATGATGAAAAGACCGCAGTTCGGGCTTTTTGCACGCATGCACTCTTGCAAGATTGAGCTGAGAGACTGGACATCGTGGCTGCTTCAACTTCCTCGGGCTGGTTGAAGGGCAACCCAAAGAAGTCCAACCAAGGTCGGTCGCGCCGCCCAGCAAAGCACCTGCGGCAAATCTCACCACCTCCCGAGGACAAATGAAGATAGTTTCTCTTCTCAAGAAGCCACTCCACCTTGTACTTTTGGTCGCCCTTCCCCGCCAGGTAGTGCACGCTCCAACCGCCAAGCTGAGGATCAGGCTTGCTGATCACGTTCAGCATCCTCACAAGATGGCCTTGCAAACTTTGCAGTGTCAGGTTGATAGAGCCGTCATAGGCGAACAACTTCGATGGGATCACCTAATGCATCAACACGCAGGCGCAAAATGCGGCACATTCAAGACAATGTGCATATTATGGCCAAGGAACGCAAATGGGAAACTTGTTCTTCCACACAGCGGCGTGCACACCAAGAGGGCTGAAGGACATGATCATGATCGGCTTCTTCCGCTTCCCTTCGCCCTCATCTCCGTGCAAGGTGAAGCCGCAAGCGCGGCCTCGCTGTTCCTCTTCGAACTGCTGCACAGGGTGGTGCCTCGGCACATGTAAGTGCGCAAACAAAGGAAGGCACTCAAACAATTGGAACGAAGCCCGCATTCCAAAACAAAAACAGGGGATGTCGTTTTTTGTTCTTCTTTTTTTATTTCTTTCGTTTTTCCAACAGACTTGGTGGTGAAAAGAGGGCTTCTCAGAATCGGGGATTTCTTCTTGGGATGGTCATGTGGGTGTTCTTAAAGGGAACCACAGGGAAAGCCACCTATGTGGAGGTCCCCAATTTTGAGAACACCCAAGACTTGATGTGGCGCAAAGTGGATGTGCCTCAAAAACCAAAGAAACATGCCAGGTCTCTCTCCCCATCTCTCGCTGCGGGCGCGAACCCAGAAATCAGACCAGTCGAAGTTGCCAGTCCTAGGATGTGTCTCCACCGGCACAAAGCAAAATAGCGCCGCAAAAAAAAGAGTAAATATAAGTAAATACATGCTCATTCACCATACATGCAAGCATCATCAACTCCCACCGGCCAGCCTCAAAGATCGCCCGGCACATGTGCTCCGGACTGAAAACTGGCCACTCCTTGTAGACCACACGCGCGGGCTGAGCGCCCTTCACACATGGCCGTCTTCTTTTCGCCTTGGCTCCCGCCTTGGCTCTCGATTTGGCTTTCGGCTTTCGAGCAGCCCCCACTTCCCGAGCTGCTCTGATGTCCAGCACCGGCAGCACCACATAGGAGAGCTGGCACTTGATGGCCCCAGCCTCGGATTTTAAGTGAAAAAAGGAACAAAACAGCGATGTCTGGATCACCTCCCCCAAATCAGCCAAACTGCGTCATTGCTTCTGTTCATTTCTCTGTGAATAGATCGCTCGCAATGCCCTCGATATCCGCGTTTGCGAATCAAGGAAGCGACCCACTTGGTGCCTGCAAGCATGCAGTGTTTTCAAACGCTTCTCGGATCGATTGAAGGGGGCAAATGAGTATGTGACGCAGGATTGCCAAGGCACTCTTCGACACATTGCCAGCACCGGCCTCCTCCACAGCAGCTGCAGCAAACTTCTGGGCCAGGTTCGCCGGCAATCCTCTGCCAACCTGCTCAATCGCCACCCGCATGATCGGGGACTCCTCCAGCGAGATCCGCGGCTGATTGGCCTGCTTCTCCGCCCCATTGCCAACAGCTTTGCGCTTGAGGTTGCGCAAGCGCCTCAGCATCCTAAGATTCACAAAGTTTGGTCATGTGTGCATGTGTGTGTGCACACATGTGCGTGTTTGTTTGCAAGGCGTGCGAATACAACATCATGTGGCTTCTCGAGGTCGCCTTTTTTTAACTCTTGGTATTTTTGGATGCAATGAAAATTATCTTCATGCAGATTCATGGCTGGAGCAATTGAAGACCGGATGGACAAGAATGAGTCGCACATACAGCATGCACCTTCAACTTCAGCATCACGCTCCAACCTACCTATCCCATGCACGGCGCAAGTTTTTTTTCCACAGGACTCAGCGTCGTACGTTGCGTGTTCATCACGCACCCCAAACCCTAAGATGGCACCGCAGCATGGCGCATCCAAGACCCATGCAAAGCCATGCTCATGCAACCATCTCCGCATCATGTATGTAAGTGGGTGTCACGTGTCATGTCATGAACATGGCTCTGCAGAAAGCAAATGTTCCGGGCTCAGCCGCGAATGAAAATCAAACAAAAACAGCCGTCATTGACTCGATCAAGGAAACTTGCAAATTTAAGGCTGTTAACAGCACGTTGCTAAGCTTCCGGAGCGCACCCTAAGACTTGGCTTTTGCCTTGGCCTTGCCTTTTGGCTTGCCGAGCACCTCCCTCTTGTGGGACTGCAGCAGGGCGTTGGCAGTTTTTACATGTTTGCGGTAGCCAACCACCCATGTTGAAACGCTTTGGAGCACTTGAGCCACAGCATCTTTTGCCGGGCGTGGCCCCAAGTTGAGCAACTCCTTGCGCGCGACCCCCAAGTGGTGGGAGCAGTCAACGAGGAGTTGGGCCAGGGCAGCCTGGGATTCCAGCTGCTCCAGCCTGGGTGCAAAACAAAGGCATCCAAAAAAAAAAGCGCATATATACATGGATACAATGAGTCGATCAGGCACAAGCCGAGTTGCTGAGCAGACACAGTTGTGCAAACTCCTTGTGCGTCTGTTGACGCCTTCACCCACGCCTGCAGGAAAGCAACTGGGTCATCCTCCTCGGCAATCATTTCCAGCTGGGAGCCGTTTTGCTTCTGCTTCTTGACAGCTGAGTTGCGCTTACGCTTCTTATTGTCATCCTCACCTTCCACAGTCCCTGCAGGGGTGGGCGGAGCAGACGAAGTGCCGGGCTCTGCGATGGGCGTGGATCCTGCTGCCACATGTGTCGCAGAGGTCATTCTCTTCATCAGATCCAGCGCGACCGATCCCTCACATCCCACCTCCATACACAATCTTCCTTGCCATTTGTCGGGTCGACTAATTCAGCAACCTATAAACAAATGCATGCACATGGTCATGAAGCACACAAGACTGCCACCAAGAATCAAAGCTTTTAGTGCTGGTCGAGCGCGTTTGCTCCCCATAGAGCAGGAAGGTCTCCACGGTGGGATCGTTCCGATCGAACGATGTCCTGACTCCATGTGGCAGCAACGGGCCAACGCCAACTTTCGAACACCGTGTCTCTTTTTCAAAAAAACTGCCAAGCAACCACCATGCGGTGGCTTTGTGGGATCAAAACCTGCCAAAAACTTAAGCGAGCCGCCCATGTTGCTCACATCGCCTGCGTGCAGCAAAGCGGTTCGCCTGCAGCACGTCGTTGTTGAAATGCTGCATCACCGCGTCCCACTTGACGTACCGGCCTGGGCTCTATGCAGCCCTCCCACAAAAAAACACCATGATTCAATTGGGCACCATCTGACTGGCGGCCAAGCGACCCGCGTCTCGGTCTTCGGTTTCCTGCAGCTTTCGAAAGCGAAGCACTGCCTCCACAGCAAATCCGTCTCCTGCACAACCCAGACACACCATGAAGGCACACGTGCAAAATATGCAATTAGGAAATTGATCTATCAGCGACCCAAAAAATAAAAAATGGCCCCATGATGGACACCCAGCCTTCAGCGGCAATGAACTTCGCAAAGGCTGCCGTGCGGCTGTCTCCACCTCTCCTCAGCTTGGAGTTTGGGTGGGTTCTCCACCCCAAACCCTAAGACATCACAATTGAAGCTGAGGTTCTCACATGAACGTTTCAGCTCATCAGTGTTGGCACCGTTCCGCTTCACGAACCTCTCGAACTGCCGCCACTCTTTTGGGTGTGTGTTGCTGTTGCAGCGCTTCGGGATCACAGCCAGTTGAGTCGCCTCGAGATCAACCTTCTCAGCATTCTTGCATCGACTAGAGCTTCACCATCAAGCTCAAGCAATTCTGCCTCGGTCAAAGTCAAGGGAGACGCCTGCAAGCTTGTTGTAGGAGGTGACACGGCAGCAGCCCCTGCAGGGCTGATGTGGGTTGGTGCCGGCGGAGACTGCGTGGATTGGTTGCCATCTGCTGGCAGACCCTCGAGGGTTGGCTGGCCCACTGGGGCGGTGCCGGCGGCTGCACTCAGCAAACGCTGAAGCGCAGAAGGGTCGAGCTGGGACAGAAGGGCTTGCGCTTCCACAAGCAAGTCAGCTTGTGCATTGGGAGGTGTTTCCTCCAAGGGTAGGGTCTCCAGCTGCGAAGGGTCCTTGGGCTGGGTGTCCAGCACTGTCGCACCATGGGGTGCCTGGTCTGCTGACGAGTCGTCACGCCCGCTGCACATGGATGAGGTCTCGCTTGGCGCAGCAGGGTCTGCAGCGGGGCTGCCCAAATTGTTCCAGTACTTCGCATATTTGGCCTTTGTTGGCCCATCCAGCACTGGCAAGGAATCGGGATCCTTGTCCTGAAAAAGCACATGCACGCGTGAACATGTGGCATGCAGAGACCTTTCAATGAAGCGCTCCTGCTTGCGGGATTTCTTTGGTCTGGTAGCCGGCTTTGGCACAGGTGTTGAGGAACCTGTGTCAGCATTGGCCTTCCATGTTGCAGCCAAAGCTGATGACTCGGGCGGCACGGTCAGGTCTTGTGCCGCCAACAAATCCAGGCCAGCATCCAAAGCTGCACCCTTGTGGCAAGTGCTGGCCAGTGTGGCAGCGCTGGTGTCATTCGGGACCAAGGACTGCGTGACATGTGTGTACTCGCACAAGCAACGAATGGAATATCTTGCAAATCTGCGAGCAACCAACTGCCAGTGCCTGGTGCATAGCTGCCGCATCGCTGGTGTCCTCAAAGGATCCTGTCCGGCCAACCGTGCTTGCTGATCGAGCGGGCGACTGCAGCGCGTTCCTTACCCGCAATGACATGAAGTTGACGGCCGGGAAAAAAACACATCCCTAAACACATGGTGAATTCGTTGCGGTCACACACAACATGACCCTCCCAATTTGCGAACTCAGCGCTGCACATGCGGTCCCGCACTTGATGCTGTTGCTCCGGCGTCAAAAACGCCATGGTGTCCGCCAGGTGTGCATCAATGCGACGCACAAGCGCCTCCATGGCATTGCGTGCACCCACCATGGTTGGACAATGTCACACACACAAGACACATGTCTGTGCGCCCGGCAGCTTGATCCGGATCCTGCTCGGTGGTCATGTGTGCCGCAGAAGCTGACATAGCGAGTGGCTAGGCGGTATCAAACAAAAGGGTATCATGTGTGTGACAGTGTGCTGCAATTTTGGGCAGAATGTACCAGGTTGATGCAGCGCACCTGATTTTGACAAAAGGTTTGCTCCTTCGTATACAATTCAATTGATGTGACATACAGTGCAACCTGCATCAGCTTGCGTTATGTTGCATTGTGTTTGATAATGTTAATTACCCCTGAAACATGCAGCACATGCATTGATCCACTGGTGACGCACACGGAGCAGTGTCAACATGAGCGCAAAGGCGCACACCCCAGAAAAAAATGTCTGACGTGTGTGACATGTGAGGAACAACTGAAAATACGTGATCTAAAAAACACAAACGAGTTTGGCAAAGTTGACAGATATTTGCAAATCTGACAGAATTTGACAGAATTTGACAGAATTTGACAGAATTTGACAGAATTTGACAGAATTTGACAGGATTTGACAGAATTTGACAGAATTTGACAGATTTGACAGATTTGACAGATTTTGACAGATTTTGACAGAATTCGACAGAATTCGACAGAATTCGACAGAATTCGACAGATCTCGACAGATCTGAAAATTGTGATCATGTTTAGGGTTTAGGTGTGTGAAATCCAAGACACATCCATGCCAAACTCAAGAATTCAACTTAGCACGCACATGCGTGCAGATCAACATGTGTGATTATGTCAAGGCTTTCAGTATTTGTTCATCATGAGCACTTGTTTGCCCGAGCACCACAGAATTGGTCCAAAGTCTTTCAGACCGAAGATGCAACCGCTTTGGGCGCACCACACAAACATTCAGGACATTCCTGGTCTGCAACATGGCATGCATCTGAATCTCGCGATCAACAAATTGTTACACACAAAGAGTGGCGCATCGATTGCTGGCAAAAGGCACTTGCACCAGTCGACATATATAGGCTCACCAATACAGCTATACCCCCAACACAAAGCTTAACACACATGTGAGATGTTGAGAGCCTATAGGTGTTTACCCCCTTGCAGCTATAGAGAATCTGCGGGCCAGGAATGTGGCAGGATCACGCCCCACGTCTTCATCGCATAGCTGGCCACTTCCAGCAAGCCGGCCTCACCAAGCGCCACACACGGCACTGAGAGAGACTAACTGTGTGATATGACCTGCCTCCTCCAGCCAGTCAATAGGTTCGGAGAAGAGCAGCTCAATGTTGGCCGCCTCGCACAACACACAGATGCCGATTGATGCAAACTTGTCACACAGGAGATTAAGACACTCGTGAAATATCTATGTAACAGCTCGCCTCGTTGTAGCTGTCCGGATGATCCAGACACTCAAACATCGGCGGTGGGCTGGGGCTCTTCGCAGCCTCGTCAGAAGCCTCGACACGCAGAGCTCATGTGTGACAATAGGCCCACATTGAAAACACACAAACGTGTGCATCTGCAGCAAAGCCGCCGATTCTATGGACCCCCCGCCAGGAATAAACCAGCTTCTTAGGAGCGCAGCGCCAAACTCTTTCGTGTAATGCCTGAGCAGCTTGCCAAGGCATGCTGCGAACATATCCGTGCAAAATCAACCGAACGTGCCAAGCTGCTGTGTGCTCTTCAGCTCTGCATTTCCAGATACCCGCTTTCTGCCGCTCTCCTCGCTGCAATGCGCACACAACCGCTTTGTGCCTACAAGCCAGGCGCATCGTCAACATCCTGAAACACGAAGCTGGGAAATGAAAAGGCACGCGACCATGCATGCACCAAAAGATTGGTGCGTTATATGAGGATGAGGCTCATCGAAACTGATGTCCATGAGCTGACGCTTCTTTCGGTTCTGCATGTCCACCTTCTCCGGCTTTTGCTCACACATCCAAGCCCACGGCACGGCGTGTGAGACATAAAGCCAGGTTGGTTTTCTGGTCTCAGCCCCCCAGCAGTCTTGGCGAACCTCCAGCCGAACTGTGTGGAACTCGCGGATGCACTTCTGGAAGAACGGCTGCCGCTCCATCGCGGTTCCCGCTCGGTGAGCAGGCTGCTCAAGGATCGTCGCAGCCCCCAAAGCCCTCGCAAAGATGGTGTACAGCCAGCTGCGCACTGCAAGGAAATTGCCTTGGCGCACCCCAGCAACGCCCCCATCTCCGGCCGGGTGCAGCCATGAGCGGAGGGACGTGCCCATGTTTGCCCAGCAAAACGAGGAGCCTCAGAGAAGCCAAGAACCATGCAGTCTGAATGTCTAATTGATTTTTCGTGCGTTAAGTCACAAGGCGGCGCAAGGAGACATAGAGCCCCTCTCTGCAGCCTCCTCAGCACCACCAGCCCCAGCCTCGGAACAAACACTTGACACGCACATGGTCTCCTTGAAGTATCACGCACTCAACTTCAATATGATCCTTCAACTGCGCCCAGTGGCAAAAAAGCAGCTGGTTGCGTAAGATCAAAAGGCTCTCCATAAGCAACGTCGAATGAGCGGGCAATCAGTCCCATCTCTCTGGCAGCTTGTGTGAACTGCTGAGTGCCTGAAAAGAACTCAGCCACCTGGATGTCTGCTATATGGGGCGCTGCCTGCGGAGTGAAGGCCAGGATGTAGATGATGACCACCAGAGCCCTGGGCCTCATGCAGTCAATGAAGGCCATGCACGATCATTTATATGAGACACGCGGCTAAGCGTCACTCCGAAATCCAGCATCTCTTTAACTCGAGGTCGAGGGCCCATCCGGCACGTGCCCACACATGCGGGCGAGAGCGGCATGGCAATTTGCGGAGCTCAATATAATGAAAGAAATTGGGTCGAAAAACTTGACCTGGCAATCCCTTACTCGCTCAAGGCGCCCTCACTTTTTGAAAGTGCGGCCTCGCGGAGACCTTTGCCACCCATACCGCTTGAACACGGTCATGCAGATATATAGGCAACTGCACAAGGCAATCAACGTGCAACTGGCCAAGTGCTCCATCAAATCAAATCAAATCAAATCACATCATCATGCAATCAAGTCAACAGGATTGTTTTCAGCCAGGCTCTGCAAGTCCCGGAGTGACAGCTCGCATGCTTTGTACAGGTGCCGCTTTGCGCTGTTTGTTTGCAATGGGGCCACAACAAAATGTTTTGCTTGGAAAAAGCTTCATGTGAAAAAGCTCGCACCTATATGTACCGTCGGCGCTTCCTCTCAGCCTCCGGCAGGCTCTCCATAATGATCCTATAGAAACACTACACTTGCACGCACACATCGTTCAAACGCTGAGCATAGGGCTGTCGGACCGCTGACTGCCGCCACAGCGCCATCGCCACCTATAGTTTGCAGACACAGACTCTAGGATGAGTGCATGAGAGCGGCTTTGGGCCCGTGCTGGCCGTTTGACGCCCGATTCAGCGGCCTTCCTGCAACTCGGCTCATGGCAGAACAGTGGGGGAAAGACGCGCAACATGCTGCAACTGCAGGAGCACAAGTCCTGACAAACTCGTAGAAGGCTTGCTGCATCGGACCTTCAGAAGCCTGCAAGCAACATTACACATGACAAGTTCATGCCACGCTATATAGGTCAGCCCTGCCTTGCGTGGTTTTTTCGTCTCTGGGTTTGGAACCAAATCCTGCGCAAGACGACAACACATTCTATCACAGGGTTGCGGTTGCATGTGTCCTCCTTTTTGTCTTCATTGTCGAAAACCTCTTCGATCGAGTCCTCATCCTGCATTGGTTTGCAAACTGGCGCAACTGCGATAAGCTGCCCTCTTTTCGCACCTCATTGTCCTTGGCATGTGCGCTGCCTGCACCACCAACCTGAAAATTGCAAATCAGCAACAACGAAGGTACTGCTTCAGCTTGTCCGGCCTGCCCGCCCTTGCTGACTTTCTTGCTCTCGGCGCCGGCATGGACACCACTGGCCTGCCAGCCAGCCACATGCGGGTTGTCGTCTGCTCACCCACGCTGACCTTCTTGATCCTGCTCTTGGCAGCAGCAGCTGCATCACCCACCTGACAAAAGCAGTACGCGAGCAATCTGCGTGACAGGCCACCCACGCTGACCTGCTCCTTGTTGCCGGCAGCCGCATCGCCAACCTGGAAAAGAGCAAATTTCAGTCGCCTCGATATGGAAAAAAGCAGCCAACCTGCTCGCCCTTTCCGGCAACCGCATCACCGACCTGGAAAAATGCAAGCAGCCATGACAGGCATGTAGTATAAAAAAGCAAACAGCCGCCGCAATCTGTCACAGCACCTTCTTGCCCTTGCCGGCAACCACAACAGCAACCTGGGCAAAAACTGCAAGCCGCCAAAACGCGAGCATACAGTCTGTGTCAGGCCTGCCCACCTTTCTCGTCCTTGCCGGCAACCACATCGTCAACCTGGAAAAGGCGCAGCGTCCGCAAGGTGAGCAACCTGTGTCACAGGCCTGCTCGTCCTTGCTGACCATCTTGCCCGCCGCGCCACCAACCTGGAAAATAAAACAAAAGCAAAGCATGACAGACGCTCTTGTGAAAAGCACTTATATAAGGGCAAAACGTCTTGGCCACCTTCTGCTTTTTGCTCTTCTCCTGCCACAATTAACTCAAGAGAGATACCAGACTCAAGCCCTGCCTGGCCCACCTGTCTGACCCGGCACCGGCGCCTCAAAAAGCAAAGATGAGATTACATGTTGGTTTCAACCTGAAACACGCCTGCAAACAATGAATTGGCAGCAAGCTTCGTGCGAGAGAACTTGAGGGCGAGACATCTTGGCGAAGAGCCGCGCCAGCATCCGCCTCCAGACAAGCGCAGGTGACTCATGCAGGCACGTGCGTCCAAATAGAGCCAACACATGATGCGATTCATGTTGAGTGATGATGATGATGATGATGATGATGATCGATAATCATGATGATGATGATGAGGATGAGGATGGGAATGATGAGGATGAGGATGAGGATGAGGATGAGGATGATGATGAGGAGGATGATTAAATTCGGTAAATCCAAGGACGCGGCAGCTGGTGCAAGTGGGTCACCATCAAGTCCTGCGCAAAACAAAAACAGCCAAAGATCAAGGCACTCTTGCATGGCAAAAATAAGCAATATAGCACGGGTTCCTTGCTCTTTGAGGGCTGCCTTGAGGCGTTTGCGATACTGAAGTTGGTGGTCAAAGGGCTCCGAGGGCGGCTCCAATAGCAGTTGCGCCAGCGCTCTTTCAAGTTGTCTCGGGGGTGGCACGCTCACCGCTGGATTATCGTGGTCTCCTGCAAACTGCAAACGAGTTTAAGCGAGATGTTTGGTCATCCCGGTGAAATCTCCTGCGCCCGCTGCAGGCTTGTTCCGAGTGAACTTCTTCTGCATCAGGTTGGGCCCCACACACTCCTTGGACGGAAATGAAAAGCGGACCGATCGACACCATGTTTGCAAACATTATCAAACCAAGAATCTTTCAAAGCTGCGAGCCATGTCCCCTTTCTTGTTGTCGGGGCCCTCTTTTTGAGACGGACAACATGCTGAAGCCCAATCTTCAAGGCCACCGCCTGCGCTCTTCCCATCGAAGGATCCTGCAGCGGGCAAAGCTTGGCACACGTGCGCAACCATATCAAACTCTTTTCATCAAATCCACGCATGCGTGAGCAGACTGACTTGGGTGGAGTGACGCACACTTTTATCTTCTCAATCTCAAGGCTATAATGGTATGGTGCCGAGGCGAAAACTGAAAATTTCCCATGCGATTAACCCTCCCAGCTTGGGAGCTGCAAAGAAATGCCATATAGGCATGCGCGATCTAAGAGAAAAACGGGCTCGCAGGCGGGGGTCAAGAGTTTGGGGTGTGCTGGGGTGTCGGGGGTTGTGGGTGGATGAAGCGTGAGACTCGAATTGGTAGTCCGCCCCGTGGTGAATCGATTCGGGATATATATTAGGGTATCTGAAATTCAAGCCGACCCCCGCGAGAGCTCTCACAAAACTGCCCGGCCCATATGGCCGAGGAAAGGCAAAGGTCAAGGCGAAATCACCTCCAGCGCCGAGCGCATCAGGTAGTCCCACTCCTCCCAATCGATCGCATTCGTCGATCTCAGGGCCCAGAGCACCTGACAGGTTTGGGTAGAATTGGGTGGCCATGGATTGGATGGGGGGGTTGGGCGTTCGATTGAAACAAGATTGGGTATAGCCACAAGATTGGCTTTGCATGTGGCATCTGATTGAAACAAGATTGGGTTAACGGTTGGGTATCCAATTGAAAAAAAGATTGCCATTCGTCTCAGACGCCTTGTAAAAATCTGGGCCTTCACCTGCACGCATGGTCTTCACGCGCGCCATCTTCCCCACACTCCCCTTCGGGCTATGCACAAGCCTCTGAGCCCGCTTCACCACCTCGCTGCGAGGGTCATGGATGCAGCGCTTCTTCTTGGCCTTTGGGTCGGATGCGGTGAGCACCTTGAGCCCAGTGTCCGCTCCCGGCTGTTGGGGTTCCATAGCAACATCCTCCGGGTCCGGGTTCAGGATCCATGTGTCCGAGCGCACCTTGAATCCGAAGTCACCCGCTGCAGCAGGCGGCTCGTTCTCCGCGTCCGAGGTGTCCGTGATGTCCGCCTTCTCCGTCGCCACGTAGTCCGAGCCATCCCACGTCGCCGCGGTGGAAGCGCTCCAAGTGCTCCAAGGTGATTTTGGCTCCATGACGGAAAAATGGAAAAACTGAAAAATGAGCACAAATGCTGCCGGAAAAGATCGAACTCGTCATGATCCAACCAACAGCAGGCTTTGCGAATTTGGATGGCAAACTCTCCCAAACATGTTCTTTCAAATGGCGCAGCACGTTGCACAGCGATCGATCAACACGGGTGTCCTGTGGGAAGAGCTCAAAGATGGCCATCTCCAGCACATCCAAGTTCGGGACCGTCCCAAGCTCCTCAGCGACCTTCAAGCTCCTTAGATGAGACACACACGTGGCCAGGTTTTGAAGCCGGAATGCGTTTGCAAGCCAAAAGTTGTTTTATTTCGCAAAGACACTCTGCGACCAACGTCGCATTCTCTGAGCAGAGGGCATCCTTGTCAACCCTGTCCTCATCCCCCTCACGAAGGCACGTCCCCTCCACCAGGCCCTTCACGAAGTCCACCTGTCCAAAAAAGAAATCAGATTTGAAATTTGAAGGAACATGTAGCAATCTGCCAACGCCTGCTTCCCCTCTGCCGGCACGACCGTGCGCCAAGCTGCCACGTAGCGGGCTGCAGCCGAATTCGCCACAGCCATTGCATGCTGCCACTGGTAAGCCACGGCGCGTCGCGGGCATGAGATCAAGATAGGCAAGTACTATAGCTGTCATGCAAGCTGTGATTATTTTGAGAACCCTGCATTAATACATGTCGGTGGATGCCAGCAACAGCAGCAGCAACAACAACAACCACAACCACAACCACAACCACAACCACAACACCAACACCAACACCAACACCAACACCAACACCAACACCAACACCCAACACCCAACACCCAACACCCAACACCCAACACCCAACACCCAACACCCAACACCCAACACCCAACACCCAACACCCAACACCCAACACCCAACACCCAACACCCAACACCCAACACCCAACACCCAACACCCAACACCCAACACCCAACACCCAACACCCAACACCCAACCCCCAACACCCAACACCCAACACCCAACACCCAACACCCAACACCCAACACCCAACACCCAACACCCAACACCCAACACCCAACACCCAACACCCAACACCCCACACCCAACACCCAACACCCAACACCCAACACCCAACACCCAACAC